AATAATATTATTATTCTCATTTATTAACTTCTCATTTATTAACATTAGATTTTATTTGTGGTAAAAATTATTTATCGAAAGTTGCACTGCATTTTTATACATAAATATTTCTAAGGAATTAAAGCTAATATTGTATTATTTTCATCAACTTCAATTGCCAATATATTTGAAAATTGTTCATTATTTTACTTGATATTGGCATAAAAGATAACAAAATGCCAGAATCATAGAAAAAAAAAATTCATCGGTTAGGATTTTTATGGCAACATTAGTATTGCACTTTTGAGTTGATATTTTAACAAATGTCATTTGCTTTATTCGTAGGTGTTATGAATGTATGCTGTCGTGTATCAGCAGAAAAATATATTATATTTATATGTTATATGAAAATAATATAACAGACAGGTAGTATAAAACAAAATTGTTGCAACTGCATGGTGGGTCGTCGGACAATGGGTTGCTGTGCCCATATAATGACTTTATTTGGTTCATGAGCTGGGCAAGATACCAATAGTCTGTAAATCCACCTGCCCAGTTCTTAGATAACATTTTATTAACTTATGAATTTGATTAATAAAAAAATATTAAAACTAAATTCGATATTATATTTTAAAGCCCTGTTTATAAATGTTTATTAAAAAACTAAGAAACACCTGGACACAAAACTTAATTATTTTTCTAATTCCTTCTGAATAAATCTACTAATTCTACACATCGTTGTTATTCTCAGTGACTGTTCAAACCAAAACCTCAATACAAAGTGGACAATGCCCTTTCATTTATTTCATCTTTGAGCGTATTATTTTCGTTTAAAGTAATATAAAGTAATATTTTTAAATAAAGATACTAATATTTAATACAGCAAAGATAAACTAAAAAGTTTTATTTGTATAAACAGACTATGTCATATCGCAAGTCGAGAAGTCTGTCCATAGCCTCCTCACCTTTATGGTGTTCCTAATCCGTAATTACCTGTCTATTGTCTTTTTTAATTGCAGTCGTTTCCGCTCACTAAAGGATAACACGCGATAAAATGAGTAAAGTTATATTAAATAGATCTCTCTGCTTCGTTAAATATATAGCACGTAATGAGGAATCGAATCTATGTAGAAGTTAGCGGGACATCGTAAGCGTCTGTATATGTATGTATGAACATATGTGCACTCCTCGCGTTGTTACGATTCCGTGTAATTGAGCCGATCATTGTAAAATGATCGCAACCGCTTCCTTCCAATCGCAGCTGATACATAAACATACAAGCAGACACGTAAATTGTTTTTAATTTACATATGATAACGGCTACGACGGGCACCTAGGTACGTGTCACGAACACCAACGTCTTGTACCTACATTTGATTAACACAACTGGAGCATCGCTCTTGACAACGCACTCTTATTTAATTTAGCCACATTAATAATAATTGTCAGCGACGAAATGGCGTAACATAAATTTTCGAACGAACAGTTTTTTTTAATTAATTATATTATCTTTAAAGTTATCATTTATGCAAGTGATGCAACTACACCCCACTTACAAGTTTACAGTAAAATATCATTCACTCGTACTCTAAAAGACACCCACGTTATATTCTAAGCGAAAGATAGACATTGGTGGACTATTTACAGTGTTTGTATTCTGGGCCTTATAGATGTGGCCTATGGGACTAGCGATCTGCGACAAAATAATTCATCATGAATATTAAGTATTTATCGACCGAACCTTTAAAATTGATATCCAATACTACGTATTAGTAAATTATGTTTGAACCGTATTCAGCACATACAAAGCCAAACATTGCACTGTAAAGGTTGGAAATTTAAATAAAAAAAAAAACATGTTTTAGGTAAATTACGAGTAACAAAAAAATTTAAGTTGTAAAAACCTGTGCATACCTGTACACGTTAATTTGTTATGATTGTACACCCAGCTGTGGTTTGTGCTAACAAATTTCGCTTCAAATATGAATAGAACATATTAACAGGTTTTACATAAAACAACAAACAAGTTATCCATCAAATAAATCATTCTCCTCGCATACGTACATAAACTTTGCTTTTTGGCGTACAAGGCGGTCGGACTGAAGGGAGATTTGATTGCTTTTCCTCGCATTTTTTGTCGAGGATAACCGGTTCATAAGTCTTCCTGTAGCCCCACCCTGCTCTACTTACGTAGGTAAGCTATCCAACACGTCATAAGTAATGTCCTAATAAGTGGAGGGAAGAAATACCGCCAAGATTGCGTCATGCGCCTATTTGGCACCTAAGCGACTGTTCATTAATCTGTTATAACAAGTCATAACTTGAGATTTATCTTCCTTGCGTGCATTAAAAGTTATGTCTAAAGGAGCTTAAATCAAATTCTTAATAGAAACTCTGTAAGAGGGCCACGTAAGTGTCGCTATTGTCCGAATGGTGAGTGAGATGCCGGGGTCGACTTTATTAAAGGGTGGCAACGCATCTGCAACACTACGGGTGTTGTAAATGTCCATGGGCGGCGATTATCATTTAACATCATGCGAACCACTAGCTAATTTGCCACTGTGTCACTCAAAAAAAGAAAGTGTTAAGTACTACTTCTTTTTTTATAAAATTAACTAATCTTAGCTCTTTTATAAAATATCCAAATTATAAGGTTCATTTGGTAAATGGCAAATTATTTTCAACGGCTGTTGTTCTATAATTTTTAATTTTGCATGGATAATTTTTCCGCTAAACGTTCGGTTACATTACACGAAGATATAAAACGTGTTATGACGTTGTAAGTACTATAACAGTCCCGTCCGCTTCGATTAGCGTGTAATAGGTCAGTGAATATTCAGACAATAAAACTAGACAAAAACGTTCATTAAAATCACGTAAACACGAAGGAAAAGCGAATTAATAGTTTCTCTGCCGATTGGCAACAAAAAAAAATATTTATACATATACTCCGACCTAAAACTTTCACCTGACATCTGGCACTTTCAGGTTTTATTAGTCAAAATAAAAATACGTAATAAAAAAATTTAGGAGTCCTCCTCAAATTACACTTAATTTTTTTTAAATTAAAATGGAGTTCGTTTAAAATACTGCGGGCGGGCGAAACTTTTAAAAATTCACTGCTTTGGAATTTACTGGAAGCTGTTTTGGTGCCAGCGGAAAATTAGCGCGACAATGTGGTAGGGCATCAAGGACTGTCACTTTTGAAGGCTTCTGACTCACAGTTTATGATATCGGCGAAAACTTTGAATACACGCGTTATTTCAATTTTAACTCTCATTCTAAAATGGAAAGTATATATATCTTTGAAAGATACCCCTTTGAAACTACCAAAACACTGTCAAATTTATAAGGAGAGAGGATCTGAGGACCCAATAATACAAGCCTTGAGCTTAGTATGGTGCATCAGTCTTCCACAATATGAAAAGTTAACTTGTACTTCCATCTTTTGAAATACTGTATAGGTACATACTGTGGTGATAAATAAAGAATTATTATTATTACAATAATGTTCCGAAGACACGACAAATTTTTTTCTGCGTAAAGTTACTTACGGATTTTTATAATTACTCCCATCTGTGCTCGGCACTGCTCGGCAAGTTGGCGACGCTCGTGTTAAATGAAGCGTAAAACTGAATTGTCTCAAGGTTGCTGTCGCCGGTGAAAGCGCGACCTCGAGCCTTCACAATGTGTAAAATGCCTTCCAAAGCAATTCTCGCTTGCAAACAAGGCTGCCATTTCATCTCGATACGATTTCTCTCATTTTATCGGTAAATAATAGGTATACCCCATAAATAAGTTCGCTGCGGTAACCGTGCAAGCTTTACTGTTTGACCTTATCTCCACACGTAATGAACGGCGCGCACGTAACATAAATTTAGAACATGTTTGTTTAAATATATATGTACTCAAGGCAGAAGCTTGTCAACCAATTTCGCATAGAGAGCCAGAGCGGTAACAACTACACACAAATATTTCAACCACCAGTGCAACCAACGACTCCCTTCCCCCATCAAATTAAGAGCTGTGCCAACCGCTAACTCCTCACATATTAAATGTCTTCGAAATATTAATTATTCAAAACACATAGCGATATGAAAATGATATGTAACGGAATCATCCATATAATTATGTAATAAAATTATTATCATCCACATTAGTCGCGCCAATTTAACGCTTAAATAATTTTTTGTTTGCATAAGTCTATCGTTTTTATTTCTTTTTATGTGCATGAGAAGGTGGCAAGGGCGCTGGCGGTTCAACTGATGATAGGACGGAGTTGCGAAGTTGTATAACTTCGCAATTGTCTTATTATTGTTATAAGTTAAAAAAAAATCGGAATCTTGATGTCCTTGTTCGCTCCCATGTTATAACGCCGTAAAGAGTCTATTGTGGTCACACTACAATTGATATCGGTCCTTTATAAAAACGCTGCGTTTAAACACTATCTTAGTGAGCACTGTTGGGCTTACCTATGTTTGCCTCAATACTCGTAATTGGAACGTTATATTGATTTTCTCTTCCGTCTCGCCTAATTATTTTCTTGGATAAGCACCTTTACCACGGTAAAGTCACGTGCGCCGTACTAGATCAAAATCATTGCCGTTTATTGTTAATTCCAATGCATGCACGTATTTCTTAAACCGAAACGTGTACATTATGCTTGTGCTTTCTAAAGATTAATTTTATCATAAACGTTTGTTATTGTATTACTAACATTTCAGACAGAGTTCCGGTTCAAAACCTCTGCTAAGCGTGTCACAAGATTTGAAAATCAGCGAGATTCTATTGAAATATGTAAATATTTATCATTCGTTGGACCCAAAATAATTCCATGTTTCCTCGGGATCGAAAAGCATGGACTGGGCATATATATATATATTATAGGTCTTGGCATCGTCTGTTTGACGGCTGAAGACGGTTGGGAGCACCGTACTAGAACGTGTGGCACTATTAGTCGAGCTCGCAAAGAAGTTTAACCTTATACATACGTACGACTGCAGTATTGCCGCGATACGTACTACGTGATTGTCTTTGCAGCGTCGTCGGTGGAGAGTCCCCGCAAAGGCTCGGCGGGGTCCGGGCGAATGGCAGGCCAGCCCTCAGCAGCTACAACCAGAGCGGAGCGGTGAGCAACGCATCGCATAGCATAGCATCGCATCGCATCGCATCGCAGAGCGCGCCAAGCATTTAAACGCATAGCGAACGCCAAGCTACCATCATTCTGCGGCTCGTTCACGAAATTCAAACCAATTAAATTCATGGCACATCAGATCGTACGAGCTAGTCCCAATTGATCATAATCACGCAACGATATGTTATAGAGGATACAAGTCAGTCTATATGTCAGTATATATTGTCTGAATTCACCGTGTTTGTCGCTACTGCAGTGACGCAGTTATAATCGTTTCTCAGTTTCATCATCCTTTTTTTATCCTATTATGATATTGGAATACACGTACCGTTTGTCGTGAACGAGTTTATTTACATTAAATATAACAGATTAAATATTTTTAGGCTACGTTAGGTTTGGTCAAAGACATTATCAAATGCTAATTCGCGTCGTGTTGTGGTTGGGCTGATTCTACCCATACAGGAAAAATATTTGTGCACTAAAGTTTAATTGCGAGTCCGGTGTACTTTGTGTTTGTTATATCTCCATTACCATCGAAATTGCAATCAATAAACTTCATAGCTTGCAAAATGAATACTTAAGGAATACTTTGTTTGCCGTAATTGCAGTAAACTCAAAAAGTTGTGGAAATATGTGTACAGGAAGACAAAGGTCTTCCTGTATATACTGACACTGATTTAAAAATACGATTTGTTGTTATCAAATAGATACAATTGTATTATTTTTGATTTCCCAAACCCATGTTAATTTATTACTTCTTTATTGAATTTAATATGTTATTAAATAGTTTTACTTTACTTTTTATTGTATTGAAAGATATATATACATAATACATAAATTTTAAATGAACACATACGGTGATGTTTAAAACTACGTTTACTAATAATACTGTACAGAAGAGGCCTTTGAGCAGTAGTGCTCAAAGCTATGCCATTACTTTATTTCTTTATTGTAGTTTAGGGTTGCTTGTCGTCGTCGGTGATTTCATGTTTGCGAGATGCTTACGGCACAATGATTACATCCTTTTGCGGTAGACGAGTTTAGTAATATAAATGAGCTGTCACGGTAACTGCCGACGGAAGTGAAAACTTAAACTTGTAATTTCTTATTTTTTAATTGAATTTTAGTTAAAAAAAATTAAGTAATAAAACACTAATTAAAATTTTAAAAGACATTTTGAAAACCAATTGATATCAAAATTTCAACGTCACTAACGTCAATTACAAAGCAAGTTACATTAACATATCGGTGACCCGAACCTTATAAGTCATCTATATTATTAGATCGTTGACCTGAATACATGAATTTTTCCCCATACAAAATTGCTCTAATTGCCTATAAAGCGTTAACTTTGTAAAAATGAATGAATCTACAAGAATAACTTCGGCGGTATTTCAACGCGCTGCAAAACGGGGGTATGTTGGCATTCGTGTACGGCGCCGAGTAAGACCAGCACAGGACGAACGGGCGCTTGGCGCACAATAATTGTCAAGGTTACATTTTAAAGTTTCAATGCTTGTTGGAATAAAAACCGGATTCACGTAACTCACATACAATTACATCATCACATCATGAAATTCGAATAAATATCTTTATCTTATCGCAAACGGAATAGACATTTTTTCCATTTGGATATTTTAGTTACTGCGCGTCGTAATTTATTCGTGATTTAAACATTTTTCCTATTGTATTTACATCAATAATATATTTTCGCGTAAATGTAAGGCATTGATAGAAGAGCCATGATAGCTCAGTGTCAGGGCACTCGCCTTTAATTCAATATACTCGAACAACCTGAGTTCGATCCCCGGTGCCGGCACCAATGAAGTTTTTAACTTTAAGTACTGACTTATCACGTGCTCTGCGGTGAAGGAAAACATCGTGAGGAAACCTACATATTTTCGAAATAATAACAATGTGTGAAGAAATATGTGAAGTCCGCCAATCCGCAGTGGGGCCACGTGGTGGACTATGCCCTGATACCCTCTGTATAGAGGAGGCCTTTGCCCAGCAGTGGGACATGTATATACAATAACTAATACTTCTTAATAAAAAAAGTCTAATTTCTTATGTTTACGCGAACTCTATGCAATGTTAAATAACACTGTCCTTACGCATTAATTCAGTTTACTTTTAATTTTATTTCTTAAAATTTTATTGGAACGTGAATGCTGCTGAGTATTCAGGAAATAAAATACCCCACAATTTTTAAATACTTTAAACTTTAAAATAATTTTATGTTATTATTTATACATGCACTGCCGGTCAAAACTAAGATACACACTTTCAAATTTGCTATAAGTTTTAAATTACACAAGATGTAAAATCATTTACAAATTATTTTAACAATATTTATTCATCGACATATGGAACGTAACTTTCATTTATCGATAGTCATAATTTTTTAATCAACCACCGTTTCAAACATATTTAAATTTTGATGTCCAGCAAATTCTTCTTCAGTTCCCAAGAAACAGTGTTTGTGTAAAGACAGTGGGAAAAAGACTTTCTTGAAGCAAATCTGGATCCCCGAAGGCCAGCAAATGGCCCGAAACAATCACACCGCTCCGATCGTATAACAGTACATCCAGGTGGTCGGTATTGCGTCGATGACTTGGCCATCAGAAAGTCCTGACGTCAACCCAACAGATCCTGATAGAAGGATGGGAGAATTTTCCGTGAGATTGTTCCGAAACCGCAGCACGCCGAACTGATTAGAGCCCGAGGTTTTTGCTTGAAGGGCATAATATATGGAATTTTTTTGGTAATAACATTTTTAATAGTTAAACAAGTTACTGATGTAAAAAAGGAAAGCTATAAATAATGCCGATGAAATTTGTAATTAAACATTTTTTTTTCATAACTCTAACATCTATAGTTTAGTAGAAAATTCAGTTTTAAAAGCGTGGTACTTAGTACCTATAGTTAATTCAGAAATCGTAGAATTACATTGGCAACATTTGTGTATTCGCCCTTGCATTTTATTTATTTGTATATTCATTGTAAGTCTAACTTTTAGCGGTCTTGCGAAGTTTGATTTCCCTATCGTGACTTTATATCGGACGTGATACGCAACTTGTTAGTGAATTTTTGTCGTAAATTCACGTTGTTGGCGAAGTGAGATTTAGTGAGACAGTAATAAATAGAAAACAGATATAAATTTTGTTAAATAAAGTTAAAGTAAAGTAAAAGTAAAATATACTTTATTGTACACCAATAGAAATAAAGGATTTATAACTAAAGACACATGGGTACAACAGGCGGCCTTATCGCTAAAACAGCGATCTCTTCCAGGCAACCTTAGGGCAGAGGATTCATTAAATTAAGTTATATAATTAATTAAGTAATATTCCATTAAGTTAATAAAAGATTTTACAAAACTACTTCCGCTTTTGAGTTTCACATTCCATAATACATGTTTAGGACGGTATGCGACACTCAAAAACGGATTTGATTGACTATAAGACTATTTATTGGCAGTAAAATTTGATTTTAGGGAATTACGTTTTGTAAGTTCAGTAAGATCCAACTAACCGAGAATCGAAGGCAGCCAGCCACCTCTAGCGCAATGATAATATGCAGAAGACGATTGCGGAAAACCTCGCGTTTATAATAAAACAAACATGAACGCCTGATGCATCGCTGATAAAACATCAGGGCACAATTTATGACAATAGCCGGTTCCGCTTCTCAAGTCCAACTGATTAAATATATGCATTGGCTATGTTTGTTTGCATTACAGGATGGATTTCCGCTCTTATGGGTCGCGTTTGTTTCTTATGTATATTTAAGCATTAGAAGAGTAGCTTTCCACCGATTTCGATCAAGAAATAAAGAAGAAAATTTAAAAGAATCTTAAGGAGTGGATCCCCGCTCAATAACTTGTCAGTATATTCTTAGCTGATGTGATCTTAACTGACTTTTGTGTTGAGGTATACGGTGGCTCTTTTCTCCGCTGAACAGATACAACCATTAACATTTAGCCACAATGTAATATTAAAGAAACATGTATAAATCCTTAAATGAAACAAAAAAATCCGACTACGTATCTCCCACAACTGAGACGAATTTAATGACCTGATATGTCGTAATGAGTCGAAGTTTAAGTTTTAGAGCGTGCCAAAGGATTAGTCTTACATACTACGAACATTCGCCAGTCGGGCAACAAAGAATGACGAAAGCGTTTTTATAATTTTGTGAAAAGGATTTCATTCCAAAACTTTTCGACGCAACGCGTTGAAGTATAAAACGTAGAGGTGATATTACATCGTGCTCCGTCCGCTTGGAGTTTTCAAATTTGTAAGCCAATTAAAATTTCAACCGGGAAACAATTTTAATTGCGCTTTTTTAATGTGATACACGATCATCCTATTAACGTTCCTTGAGTGATGATATCTTATATTAAAAACTTTATGCTACAGATGGTTAAATACAAAAATTTCAGTCTCGTGCCCATAAACGGAATAAGAAACGAATGTAGATCACTACAAAATCCATAAAATATTTTTATTTAACCATCTTTTGTTTGGCACAATCGCTGGAGGCCCTTGGTACTATGCTCAATGACCTCAACAGTGTCTCCCAACGGATAGGCCTTAAGGTGAGCATGGACAAGACGAAGATCACGTCTAATGTCCATGTCACGCCTATACCGGTTAATGTTGGGAGCACTGAGCACAAAGTTGTTGACGAGTACATTTACCTAGGACAGTTGGTCGGGTTAGGTAAGTCCAACTTCGACGCAGAGGTCAATCGGCAAATCCAACTCGGATGGGCAGCGTCCGGGAAACTCCGGCTTGAAATATGTCTTGATTGAAGAAAAGTCTTCAATCAATGTGTGTTGCAGGTGATGATCTACGGAACAGAGACGTGGTACTTCACTGCTGGCCATTTGAGGAAGAAAATCGGATTATACGTATATGCAGTACGGTTATAGGAAACACGCCTAGCACAAAGCGATGTAGGTACATTGTTA